TTTGCGGCCAACTTCGCAGTGACCATTGCCTTGATGAGTGGCTCCGCGTTGGCCGCTATTTACTCCAACGACACAGGCCTGAGGATGTTGCAGGTGGACGCGGACTTCTCGCCAAACTTGAGCTTGTCCGATGGCAGCAAGCGGCCGTGGATCATTAATCCCGCCGGCATGGACCGCCCCTTCCCAGCTTGGGGCATTGCTTATGCGATCCTCCCGGCGACTTGATAAGAGGGCATCTTTTTGTTTGCATGTAGATTGATAGTGTAAGGTTGTAGGGGAACATGTTCGCGACTGGTGTCGGGCACAACCCAGGCGATTGGCTTCGCAGTTCTGGGTTACCTGGATCAAAATCTCACCTCTGTGATCGTGAACAGACCCTCTAACAATCTGAAGAAGCCGGCTGCTTATCACCTTGATTTGTTTCGAAGCTATTCGGTATCCTTTTGATTTATTAGTGTTGAGGTTGCCTTGCATTTCTAGCAGAGGGAGTCCATTAAACATATCCTGTTTTCTTTCCTTCTTAAGACGGGCTCAGGTTCGTTCGTGGAGCACTGACGCTGCCCATCTGTGCTGTGCTGGGCCTGCCCCTGTCCGTGGCCTCCACTGTGCCGAGCATCACCCACGTGATCTCCTTGACCACTTACGAAGTGAAGCAACTTCCGGAAGGTGAGCGCAAGGTGCCTACGAAGGTGGTGGAGCAGCGTGCTACCAACTTCTTGATTCTTAGTAGCTGAATGAGTACGCTTTACACGTGCTGGGATAATATTACAGAAGTAAAATTTGCATTCTCGGTGGAAAACTCACAGCTAAGGATTCACGTGCTTATAGGCTCTGCACTCTTCGTGGCACCAGTGCTGAAGTTCCTGCCGCGGGCCGTGCTGCAGGGCGTGTTCTTCTACATGGGAATTGCGAGCCTGACCGGCAACAACCTCTTCGACCGGCTGAAGTTGTGGCTCATCTGGGACCCGGCCAAGTACCCGCAGTACCACTACATCCAGAAGCTGCCCATCAGCCGAGTGCACCTGTACACCGTCGTCCAGGTCATCTGTCTTGGCATTCTGTATGGGTTGAAAGCAATCAAGGAGACGTCTGTGGTGTTCCCTTTCTTCATGGCGTCCCTGGCCATCATCCGCAAGGCCATGAGGTTCATGTTCACCGAGGATGAACTGAAGCAGCTGGACGGCCTTCCAGGTGAGGACGAGGAGGAGGATGCTGCGATGTCGAAGCCGGACATCGTGAATCTGGATGCGAAAGATGCCGCCTAGGGTAGTTGAGCAAGGATGTGCAGGGTGTTGTAGATTCAATTAGCGTAGATAGGAGGCCACTCAGCCGGACCTTTTGCAAAATTCATATTCAGTTTTGGTTCTTCGGGACTCGTCAGCGAAGCCCTTCTTTGAAGGCCTTGCCTGGCAAACCTCATAAAGCAAGGTTGGCAGACCCCGTGGGGGCGGGATTCAGGGGTCAACGGTAAACAGCTTCTGGGTCTTCAGCCTCTTTGCTTCATCTTTTATGTCAAGATGGCCTGGCCCGTCTCCGGCCAAGCAGCGCTCATAATTGTGCCGAGGGAGGCCGAGCGTCGAAGGCGCGTGAACCTCCTGCACAAGCTTTTTTGTACAAACACAGCGTTGCCAAACCAGCTCACTCCAAATTCATAGCGCAGAAACATTGGAGCCACGATTAGCGCGTGGGATGAGAGCGACCGCCGCACGCATGAGGGCCGGTACTGGTCTTGTCGTTGTTGCATCTCAGGCTATTGCACAGAGAAGGATGTCGATATTGCTTGCGGCTCAGTTCTGTGTGCCCCTATCCAGAAGATTCTCAGTCACCCTAAACCCTAAGCCTAAGCCCTAAACCCGGTCATACAAGGGCAGGGAGTTGGGAGCTGAAGCAAGCCGCGCAAGCCTGGTGCGTTCTGCAGGTTGCCGCAGACTTGATAGAGGGAGTCTCCCTGCTGCGGCAGAAGGATCTCGAGGCGACCAGCTGCGGGCTTGTGATTTCACAGGGGTTCCAGTCGTTTAGGGCCCAAAATAGTTAGAAATAGTATTCGCTTATAGTCCATGCTACGATATCCTGCGATATGCCCCAAGCCCTATTCTAACTATAATGTAGGGCAGCTCGGCAGTATTCTCACATCAGCGGTGTGCTTTGATTCATGCCGCCCCGCCCAGTCTCTCGGCGTCGCGGAGCCGTGGATCTATTGAGGCCCGCGTGATTTCTCTCACCGGAGAAAAGAGGAGCGCTGTCACTGCAGCCGCGTGGCTTCTGAAGCCTTGGGGGCCATGGGCATCCTTCGCCGCATTTCGAGAGCACCATGAACATCCCCAGGTCCCAGGTACCCCAGCTGGTGCCCCCTTCGAAAGCTCCTGCTCTCGGGCCTTGAAGTGCGCCAAGGCCCGGGTGGCTGTCCGGCGGTTTCAGGTGGAGAAAGCCAAGCTCATCGCCCGGGGGCTCAGGCTTTTCCCGACGAGTCTACTGGTTTTGGGGGGCCCCGTTTTTTATATGAGCCCAGGCCATGCAAGCAAGATGGCGCCGCTACCAGGGAGTCAAAGACGAGGCGGGACTTGATGATCCTTCAGCTCCCGAGAGCCAAAAGTTTTCAAAAGTTCTTTGGCCGGGCCAGGTGCAGAAGAGGCGGCGTAAGCGCCAGCTTAGGGGTCTCTGGCGAGCGGCTGCGGCCATGGTGTCGGGAGCTTAACAGGAAGCAGAGGCACTTCGAAGGCTAGCAGGCTAAGGCTATCAGGCTAGGAAGTCTTCATGTTAGCAGAAGCAACTGCAATCATCGTTGGTAGACATGTCATGTAGTGATCTCTCACACCGTCAGAGGAGTCGTAGGATTTGTCATGCAGCACAGTCCCGGCCACTGTCTGGGCAGCAGCCTGTGTTTGTCAAGCCGCAAGCCTCAAACTCCAAAGCTGTCCAGGATGACAGCGCAATCTCGATACTAGAATGATGCTCTCAAGAATCCAATCTCAGAATGGGGTTTGCAGTGTGAGGTATCAGCTCAGCCGTCATCGACGCGAGATGCGCCTGAAGCGTCGACGGCGCCTCGTCGCCGCATTTCGTGCCTCCGGGTGGCTGCTGCCGGCTCCCAAGCCCTGGCAGTGCTCGTAGGATGTGAGGGACCTGACAGAAATGTAGGTCAATCCCAAACTCCCAGCTCCCAGCCCGCAAATCCGAATCTAGACTGCCAGACTTCTCCGAGTAGAGCCGCTTAGCCCTTAAGCCAAATGAGCGTTCTTTTCAGGCAGCTTCTTGGTCAAGTTCGCAGCGTGCGGCTGCAGCGGCGAGCTGGACAGCTGCGCGCCAAATTTCGTGCCGTGAGCCACTTTGTGTCTGGGGCCCAGCCAATACAAGTTCTGCGCACGCGGAGCGCAGTAGATACTCAGTCTCAGATACACACCGGGACGGACACACCGCGTGTCTGAGCATAGCTTTCTGGCGCAGTGTCTTGAAACACTCCACAATAAGCCCTAAACCGCGGAAACCCTAAACCCTAAACCTAAAAGAAGTGTGCCCATCTGCAGTTCACGAGGTGGTCCCTCAAGCGGGCAGCGCGGATACACCGGCAGCGCCGGACGCGGCAGCTTCTCGGGGCGCTGCGCGCGTCCGGGCATCTCCTGCCCGGGGCTTGGCTTCTCAAGCTCATGTTATACCTAGGGGCGGGGCTGAGTAGGGAACCTTTAACCTTTTCGGGTTATATAACCTACTATAATTCAAGAGATTAACCTTTTTTGGGCTAGGGTACTCAGCCCCTAAGTGTAGCAGAGTAGAGTAGAGTAGACTTAACTAGTACTGCATAGTATCGTATTGTATATAGTATAGCACACTTACTATACTTTAAGTACCATTGTCTAGCATACGTTAAGTTTGTATATAGTATGATTTATTCTATGTGCTATAGTGTAGTATGGCCTTTTCTACATTGTTACAGTACATGTGGTGGCTCCTGGTCTTCCCGAGGTGTTTATTTGCTGTTGGACTCTTCAAAGCCTGAGGTCCATTACTCCTAGGTGGTAGTAGGGAAACGCCTTAAAGGGGACCATTCTGAACCCTACTTATGGCTCTCTTGAAAGGGACCTTATTGAGAGGGTCTGTATCCCCAAGGGTCCCCCTAACCCTAACTCCTAATCACGGCTTTGATGTACAACACTCCCTCATGAGGTGTTCGCTGCACCGAGTGCAGCTCGCTAGATGGAGGACAAGAAAGCGACACCTGAGGTCTTGCTTCAAGGCGGGGTTTGCAGATTTAAGTTATTTGCTTCCCGCGCTGGGTGAATCCTTCACCCTCTCTGCGGCCTCCACCCTGAAAACAGTCCTCTTGGGGTCCGTCCGACTTCGTAGAGGCTTGAAGATGCCTTGATGTCATCTATGTCAAGCTAAACCTTCACCATCCAGATCATCAATAGGGCCACAGTTGCCCATAGCTTTTTGGGATCCAGATCATCAATGTGGCCACAACTGCGCCTGGCTTATCATTCAGGGCCCTACCTGAGGCGTAAATCCAAAAGTCGGAGTCTCCATGTCAGTCGCGAGGCTTGCGTCGCAGTCCTGCCCCGGGCCCGGTGCCGGGTTTCCACGAAGTAGGGGCGTGTTTAGGGGTTTGGTATTTAGGGGTGCAGAGTTTCGGGTTTGGGAGTTTAGGGTTTCATAGTTCCATGGGACGTTGGACCCTAAGGAGATAGTATTGGGCTCTATTGGCTTTGGTTTGAGCGCATAGGGCATGGGGTGAAGGCTTCACTGTTCATGCCCGTTTCTTGGCCTAAGCTTGGTCAGCGTGCAATCACAGTAGTTTAGACTGGGAGCAGATCAGTGCGCATAATACAATGTGAAAGAATGGCAGAATGGCAGTTCGACATTGCGAAAGCAAGCACTGAAAATAGCACTCTTTCTCGCAGTAGCTGATTCCTTCACGAGCTGAGTGAGGTTGATTAACTTTCGACAGACAGGGCTGCCGAGCTACCTGATACGGTGGTGCACTAAAGAGGATGAGAGAGCTTCTCGCAGACGTAGCCCATTAGTGCAAAGTGAACTGCACTTCGATACCAGGATGCTTCACGCCAAGATCCAGCTAGCCAAACGGCGTCGCCGCCAAATCTGCTTGGCACCCGGGGACTTGCCGATTCTGTTTGATTTTCGCGAGACGTCCCGGCAGCGTTCTGCTGTGTGGTAGATCCTGTGGCCCTGGGCAGTGCCGGCATTCTGTTTTGCTTCAGTCGATGTGGTGGTAGCATTGGAAGAAGCAGTCGGGCTGCGTATGTCTGCATCAAGCTAGGATGGAATGTCTTGCTGCGGCTCTTCGTGGTTTGTAAACCCTATAATACAACCCTATTCCAACTAGTAAAACCTTGAAAGCTCTACAGCTTATTGCGTTGGGCTCAAGATTTTCAGGCCTTCGTGGCTGCTGGCGGGCTTCTGCCTGGGGCCTGGCAAGCCCATCGTTCCATCAATTCGTAATATTGCTCCCTTCTAGTCCTGGTCACAACTATAGTAGAAGAAGCCCCAAGACACGATTCGAATAATTCAGGCCCGTCATGTTCCAAGAGTTAGCCTTTGTTGCTATTCAGTTTTGCAAGACGACTGTAACGTCGGTAGCGTTGTAGTTTTCGACGCTTTTTTCACGGTTGACACACTTACTACGATGCGCACCAGAACACCAGTTGAACACCACCAGTGAAATTGCATATAATATCAATCAAGCAGTGGGAACAAAAGTCTTGCGTTACGTAAATAGGGCAAGTCATAGCGACTTCGTCGACGTCACAGACGAAATGCGAGGTCATCCGAAGGAGCATGAAATTCCAAACCGAAAGCCTCAATACATGGTGCAACAATCGGACAGCGGTTTTGTTTGAGAAGTGCATGATACCACCGGGAATATGGCCTCCAGCTAGGAATAGTCAGAGTATGTATGTTCGTCTTTACTGAGGACAGACGTTGTGCCAGTATTTCGGTGTGCAACGAGCGTATGCATGCAAGTGTTGTGTGTTGGTCTCTGTGTGTGCCCGTTCATCCGTCCGCCCGTCGTATGCATTGAAGAAAGAGTGAGAGATGGGGATATGGAGGGAGTGAGTGAAGGACGGACGGACGCATGACCAAGTCACTACGTCATTAAGTAACCAAATAACAGATTAATTAGGTAACTAGGTAACCATTCAAGTAATTCAGCAATTTAGTAATTGGGTAACTCATTAATTCAGTAAGTTAGTACTTGCATAAATAGATACAACAGATCCACCTATCTGTTGGTTTGCCTGTCTGTCCACACCATCGCTTCGTGCGGGAGGCTATGCTCATCCTCAGCGGGCGTCGCTCCTGGTGCCGGAGTCTCGCAGCCATCGAGGCCTTATGCATCCTTCTGTGAATCGAAGGTTGGGATGGCGGCTTGCGTCATTTTGGTTGCTGTTGTCATTATCTGTGATTATCATGGATGCTACTATGACTCTGATTGCGGTCATCCCTGCTGTTTCGATTACTGTCGTTGCTCTTCATGTCGGATTCCTGTGCCTAGCTCTTGTGGCGTCAGGTTGCCAGCTGAAACACCGACGAGTCAACTGATGTCTGTTTTGTGGAAGGGAACCGTAAGTGTCAGGGTCCATGGTTTGCGGCCACGTTGCGAAGCCTGGTTTTATCACATTTCATCACTGCATCACATCGTGAGGATGGATGCTCTTCCACTGTGGATGTTTGGTGTCGTTTTGGCTACGCTTTGAGGACCTGTAGGTGTCGGGTATTGGTTTTCAGGCTAATTAAAGCGCATGTAACCTTAGCCAAGAGCAGGACTTTCCTGCTCGTGCATTGCGCCCTTTGACAGAATCGCCGTTTCGAGAGATCCTCCACTATATGGAGTTCAGACTCAGACTGCGAACCCGCAGGGTTTTTCAAGCCAACTTCCTTAATAAAGTGCACACTGAACCCTAACAGGTCAACAAGATGTAGCCAACGCCCTAGACTTCCAGCCTTGTGCCTCAGATCCAACGACACATCCGCACCTACTTGCAGAGAGACACTCTGCGGAAAGTGGTGCTCCACGGCATGCTTCATTGAAGGAAGCTCGCAACAATAATGTACATAGACATGCACACACATAGATGCATGCATGCATACATACAAACATATACATACATACATGCATACATACATGCATACATACATACATACATACATACATACATACATACATACATACATATGCATACATAGACATACAATATATAAAAATACACACATGCACACGTGTGTTTGTGTTAGTGCATTAGTACGAGTAGTAGCAACACTAACAGCTGCTCATGTGTTGTTCTGATGAGAAGTCTTAGCAGCACCAGCGGCATCAGTATCAGCAGGAGAAAATCACGATTAAGTAGACAGATCGGCGGGTGGACGAAAAGACAGAACCAATAAGCAAGGACATGCATGCATATGTATAGTTCTATTTATTATTTAATGGCTGCCGCCAATG